CTGTTGCACACACTTATTCAATATAATTCTGTACATTCTATATTATTTTATATATTAATTTGCTTTTTCGCAAAGCTTGATTCAATTGTTAGCAAAATCGATATATTGTAGTATAATATAATATAGTAAGTAACAAGCAATAGCTAATATTATCATTAATAGAATTATTTATACAATTATTATGAAATAAATGAAACTTTTATTTCATTATTTTCACAATAATGCAATAAATGTTAATAATTAAACCATTATCGAGAGGTCGCGCACCAGCATGCGAACAAAGATAAAGTGAATTCAGGATTTTGGCGGGAAGAACTTTTTCCGGTAGAACTCCCATTTACCTACATAACATGGCTCTCTCTCATCGTATTTGTACCGACTTTCGAACGAATTGAGAACTAGCGACTCTACATGGGAATACCAGGAACTTGCGCGCAAAAGCTTTCGCGGTGAGATGCAACTATTTACTATCGGAGAAGAGGGAGAAAGATGAGAATATGTATAATAGTTTCTCCTTTCTCTATCTATGTAATACGTTATACATATATGTATATATAATCCACACGATATAAACCGTGGTTTATGCTTCATCTCGAGTGCATCGTTATCTGCTCCGCCTCTACGATAATTTAATTGTTCGCCGGTGCTTGCAGAGCGACGTCATTTTCGCCAAGTTTGACTTATTACTTACCCCGTATGCCTCTGCTCTTTCCACATTAGACGCATAAATTATTATCGTCCGTTCGAGCAGAGTTCAAACGTTTACGCAACCTCAACGATACTATGTGTAATCGAATGATTTCATCACAGCTATGCTACGTGTACATAAATTTATTGTATTGATTATTAATGAAGTATCTCATTGTTTATTTTTGACAGTAATAATTGCATATAAGTGACTCAAGTGAATGTGCTTAGCGATTGAAAAATCAACAATATATTTGTATTATTATGATATTTGTTAATAACATCAAGAAAGAGAGGGAGAGAAAGAGAAGATAATAAACTAAAAAGAAATTAAATTATTTTGTTTCAAAATAAGTATTAAAAACATATAATTTGATTGCAAAAAATATGTTTATTATTTTAATGGTCGCAAGCATAGTCATATTATATTTCCACTCATCATTTTGAGTAAGACGTAGTGTTTACATTTTTTCCAATTTTAAAAAATATTGTACTACTTACGCAAATATTTTTTACATACATATAATATTTTTTATGATTGTAAGAAATTGCAAATTAAATTTAAAAAATGTCAGTTCTTATTATTCAGTTCAGTCATTGAGCATTTATTTTATATAATTATACGCACATCCATTATCTATTTATATAAATAACAACTGTCTAAATTATGTGTTTAATTTCTTTTTGCAAAGGATCGATAACAATTATTATACAGATATGTACAAGTTTATTTGGAAGCTTTTAGCTTTGACAAGAAAAAAAAAATTTTTCTCGCATTTCCGAACGTAGTTCGGATCTATAGCCACTGACTCTATATAATCCAATAAATTTTCCGCACGAGTGAAAATCCGCGCGCCGTAAGAAAGACACACTCTTTCGGTAATTGTGCAACGCGCCAAGCGGAGCGTGATTTACTTCGTATACGCCCAGGGCGATTTTATATGGCGGCTAACGAAAGATAATTTATTGACGTTGCAATATCCATCGAACCGAAGTTCGGAAACTTTATTTATACGTGATGTAGGGTGCGGTCCACTTGACGCTACAAATGCTTCGAAGCTTTTGACTGACCAATCGGAAGAAAGAATTTTACTAATTGACCAATCAAAAAATCCTTCAAAGCATTTGTATCATCAAGTGGGCCATAGCTTATAACGTTCTATTTGATTTGGGAGCCACTGTGTGTTGCTCGGGTTATATACTTTCATCTTTTAGCTCTCTGTGTATTCGTCCATATTTCCCCTTCTTCTCTCCAACCCTACAGCCCGCTCCTCTTCGCTCTTCTTCCCGCCCTCGTCCCAGAGTTCTTCCAATAGTAGTTTCCCTTCTACTATAACCTTTCTACCGGTCGCCTTCTCTCTCTCTCTCTCTCTCTCTCTCTCTCTCTCTCTCTCTCTCTCT